TTCTTCCTTTCTCATTTCATGTTCAGCACTAAAGTACACAGTAGCAGAGATACAGTAGTGAATGAAATTAATAAGTAGAGATTTTTATGAACCATTGTCTTCATGATTACATATTTTAATTTGGTACTTGCCATTATTTTTCAGAGTCAGACAAATAAATATAAACTTGAAAGCTGTGCTGTCTATTCTGAGAGAGTATGATGAGACAAAATGGGATATTGCATTAGGAGGGGAGATTAAGGAGACTTTTTTGAGGAATTTATACTTAAGGTGAGTTCTGTATTAATTGGGCCAAGGGATTTAGGTTAGACTTATTGCTTCTGTAAAGTCTGGAGAATGTGGTTCATCAGATACTGGAAGAAAGCCAGTGTTGTGAGGTGCTCAGAGCTAGGGGAGTGGCATGTGAGGAGGCTGGAGAAGCAAGCTGGGGCTGGACCACAAGACTCCGCTGGTTCATGTTCAGTGAACTATGTTGACACTGAGTTAGACCGCTAGGGCTCTAGGTTGAATAAATGAGCTAATGGTTTAAATATCATTGAAGCCTAAGAATAAGAGTGCTATACCAGTTCCTTGAAGCAAGAAATGGGTGCAAGATGGTTTGGTTTTGTGTTGAAATCCTAAAATGAGTCTGGCTCATAGAAGGACAGCCATACGTGTGCATGGAGTTGAGTTCTTGAGGTAAAGGTATATGGCATCAAACCTATTGGGTGGATTGGCTCAGTAAAGATGATTAATGCTTCAAGTGTAAGAGACCATGTGCATCATTTAGAGAATGAATGGATATCATTTGTTTTAGAATCAGTTGGACAAACCAAGTTTGAGAAGAGGAAACTAGGTTGATGGAATGTGCCATTGACGGATTGGAAGTAGGGAGGCAACATGGGTTTTTGTTTGTTTGTTTAATGAATGGGGACAACAAGATAATGGAAAGATCATAGGAAACAAGAAGAAATATGAAAAGGCTAGTTCAGAGGTCAGTGCAGTCACCCTGGCTGCAGATAACAGAGGTAAGATTGCTATGGATGAGAAGGGGTGCTACCGACCCCTGTGTGCCCTCTGGTCCCATACACAGCAGTAGTTTCATTTCTTTGGCACCCAAAGGGGAATTCACATTGGGACCCAGGCAGAGCAAGTTGGTAGTCAAGTCTTATTTCAGCCCCTACGTAAGCACAATTGGAGTGCTTTCTCCAGGGTGGAAGCTCACCCACCATTCTGTGCAGCAGCCTCAAAGGACCAGGCTCCTAGTAGGCAGGGGCTTTCTCAGACTCTGTCCTCTCCCACAGTTCATTCTGTTAGGTAGATGTATTCGACGTTAGAATATGTTTAAAGATATAACTACTCAAAGTTGAGAGGTTTTCTAGGGGAAAGGCAAAAGTGCATTGTGAATGCTCCTCAGGGGTCCTTTCAGAGGAGACTGGGTGGCAGGGGTTGGAGGGGTGGGGTGTGGGGGGGTGGGGTGTGTGTGTGTGTGTGTGTGCTGTGGAGGCCACCTTGATTGTTTTCCCCACCCCTGTACTTCCTCTTCTCAGGTCAGCTTGGGTAGCTCATAACCCTTGGCCTGCCCCCTCCTTTCTGAGTGTTTTAACCCTGCCATTCCTTTTCATTGTATCGGAACCGTGGCGGTGGTGAGGGAGGGAGCCAGACAGAACTGACAAACACTAAGAGAGAACGACGGAAAGTTCCTGATACTTTGGCTGTGTAAGAGCGGTGGAAAGGAAGGGGGTGCTCATGGTTTTGTTAGAGTTGTCACGTACACATACCACCACCACCACCGCTGCCGCCGCCGCTGCCACCTACACAGTTTTTTTGTTTTTTTTAAAGATGAGAGGAAGTTATCTCAGGTGAGGTACCAGAAGCTGGGGTTTTTATTTTATTTATTCACACTACAGCAGTGGCAGTTACATTAGAACTGTGTCTTTCTATCTGGACCACCAGGCTCCACCTTTTAGGCAAGAAAAGGGATTGAGTGTATCTTACCTGGTGTTGTTCTTTTCATCCCACTGTAGTAAAACAATTCTGATTCACCTACCTCCTCCTCCTGGAGTTCATGTTGGCATAGCAACCCAAGCTCACACCACTGTCAGGTACCCTTCTGGGTTTGCCCTAAGATGCACCAAGCTGACTGAGCATGTCCCCACCTCTCCTGTTTCCCCTTATTCTTACAGCGCTTCTACAAAGTGGAGCTGTGTGATCCTGGCCCTCTCCTATCTCTGAAAAGGAGATACAGAGACAAGGCTCCAAAAGTTGTGATGAAAGTTCGGATGGCGGCACCTTTCTAACTTGGGAGGTCAGCCTGTGTCTTCTGGGTGCACCCAGCCAACATTAATTATAATGCATCAGTGTTGGCTGCTGATACAAACTTGGGCCCAGGGAACTTGAGGCTGAGGGAGGATGGGAAGCCAAGTTTTAACTGCCTCACAGGATGCTGAGCCTGGGAGCCACAGATCCTACATTAACTCATTGCCAGTCAAATTAAGGGAATGATGCAAACCTAGTAGATATTTAATGAGAGATTATTTCTGGAGATTATAAGGATACAGAAATTGCAAATAAATCCCTGACCTTTTCTGAGCCTTGGCTCAGTGAATGGGCTGAATCACCTGCTTGAAGGGATTAAGGACAGCCACATCCATCTGGCGGGCTACTTTCTCAGTCATTTGCAAACTCTGCTCCATGGTGATCGTGTTCCAGACCTTTTAGTGGGAATTCACTCTGCAGACCAGATCTCAATTGCTTAGATTAGGAACCCAATGGGCCAGAATCAGAACTAATGTTCTGCTTATGTAGACAGTGGGGTCCCTGTCACATTAGTGCTACTTAGTCCAAAGTAAAATAATATGTAGTTGTTAATTATTAGTAACACAGTCATGATGTCAGCAGGAAATTCAAGTTGATGAGAGTAGAAGTCAAACTGTGTGTGTGTGTGTGTGTGTCCCCGCATGTGGGTAAGGAAAGAGGACAGAGACAGATGGAAAGTGCAGAGAAGTGGTGGTACAATAACTTGTATCGGTTCTAGTTTAGAGATTTGGAACAATGGTTCCTAACACGTATTTCATGAATTCTTGGAACCCTTGTTAGATGTGGGTTCCATTTCTTAACGTAATTTTGTCTGTTTACAAAACTAGGTAGGTCACACAATATGCAACTGTAATAAACTAGGCTTAGCAGAGTTGTCTTGAGCTCCTGTTTGGTTCTGCAGCATGTAAATGCCATGTACACTTGACAGCTAAGATATACTGATAAATACAGCAGCATTGCCTATGTGAACATAAGGCATTTTGCTTTAACATTAGTATGAAGGGAAACTGCTTGATTTTAACAAATTGGATAAATTGCACCAGCATAGGGAAAACAAATCCAATCATTGAGTGGTGGTGGTGGGCGTCTTAGCCAATTTCAAAAAAAAAAAAGTAGAGTTAATATAAGTTGGTGGAATTTAATTTTTTTCTGGACGTCTCTGGAAAGTTCCATTGCATCTTCTTTCTTCCATGTACCACTTGCCTAGGAATGACTCTCACTTCCTAGTTGACCCGGTGGGTTATCTAAGCACTGGGGCCTTCTCTCTCAGTCGCCAAGTTCTTTCCAATTTTCCAAAACTTTTGTTGATGTTTCTGGGAAGGAAGTGGTTTTGTCCAAGATGAAATTCATCTATGTTTAGAAGGAAACCGTGTTCACGAGCCTGTTCTTAAAACATCCAAGTTCAGACTCTGTCTCAGCAGCTCTCGGTATTCAGTGCACAATGGCAGTTCTTTTTCCCCAGACTTCTGACCTCCATGCCTTTGGAAAGATACTCTGAAGTGCTTCCCAAAAACAAAGTAAAGGCTTCCGCTGACTACAGAATAACAGTTATAAATACTTTGGAAAATTCCTTAAGCACAAAAAGATAATTCCCTGCCTGTCACCTACATTCCCAATAGCTGTGTTCTGAGTACTTCATGTAAGAGTAAGAATTGTCTCCTGCACACGCAAGGATGCCTCATGTCCTTAGTCGTCAGATGCAGGACAAAACCATAGCAAGAAAACTCTGACACCACTGGGATGGCTATGATGATAAGAGGCAATAACTAATGTTGACAAGGACGTCCAAGGAGATCAAACCGATTCGTTCCTACAAGCTGTGTGCGTTGTATTGCTGGATAACCAAAGCTTGGGTTGAGGATCTGTGGATGGCTAGCCTCTTTATTGCTACAGTTCTTCCCTGGGAACAATTGATTCTATAGGTTGTTTTATTTTCTGAGTGGTACAGGTAGGTATTGGAACAGATTGAGGAACCTTTGCCCCCACCCCCACCCCATTGAGTCATGGAGAGGGGCTGTACTGCTTCTGGGGCTCAGATAGCTTCTTTGTTCTGTTTCAATGTTCTTCTTGGTCACTTTTCTTTCCTTCATTTCCCCCTTGATTTTCCACTTTTTCTAGTCATTAGAACAGAATTATACTTTAATTCAAAGTCATATTTAAAGTAGTTTGGTGACCTTTCCCCTGGAACAAGTCTCCACACATTAACTTGGCAACTTTGGTCACATTTAGCTTTTCCAAGCCTCAGGTTTTTCATCTGTAACATAATTAAATAAGGATAAACATAAAAAAATAAGGATTTTCTGGAGTTCCAAGACATAATCTAGGTAAAGCACTTACCCAGTTTGTTTTAAAGCACTTCCCATTTGCTTTATGGAGCAGATTGCAGGCAGTCATTCCTGTGGCTCCAAGTGGAAGGCGTCCATCACTTGGTGCTACCATTTCTTCTTAGAAACTGAGCCTAGTGCCAAAGGTACTGTGAGAGCTAAGATAATACACACAGAACACAGCATGTATCTGGCACATGGTAGGCTCTCTATCAATATTACCTATTTTTAAATTATTTTACTTTCACTTATTTATCTTCACATGGGAAAGGGGAGAGAGCCTGTGACCACACCATGTGGTTGGTTTCCAGTGTGTAAACCTTACAGTGAGTTGATTTGCACAGGCAAGGCCTGACTGCCCTTCTCTTATTCTTTCAGCTGCACAGTTGGACAGCATCGGCTTCAGCATAATAAGGAAATGCATCCATGCAGTGGAAACCAGAGGTAAAGTGGTCTAACAGATGGTGTTGTTCTCATGCAAGGTCATGCATCTGTGAGGCAGCAGACATGCTACCTGCTGCTTCTGATTTTAAGTAACTCATTAACTCCCCCAGTGCCACTGTCGGTGTTTCTACGGGTCATGCTAGTCTGAAGCAGGGGTTCTCCACCCATTTCATGTCATCTGTGTCTCTGGTTGATCATGAGACTGTCTTACATGTATCCAGATAGAATTCTTAGGCTTATGGAAACCAGTTCTAAAACTCAGTTATTATTAAAAATAATTGAAAATACAGCTGCAACAGACTGGTAGATATGCTTCTGCATTAACAAGTCCTTTACTAACTTATAGCAGAGGACCTCATAGCTAGCTTAATCTGGAAATTGCAATATTGTAAACCTTCTTTACCATTGTAAGGAGTTATGAAAATATCTGGAATTTTGGACCATGTTACAGGTACTGCGAATGCCACTGTAATTAGTTGTCTCCATTCACAAGGGAAAGAAATATACAGTGTCAGTGATAGTGAAGAGAAAGGCTGTTTCCCATCTAGTTCATAGACCCCTGGACTCTCCAGGGATGGTTACCTTAGAGTCTGTGGACCCCAAGTGAAGGATCTCTGCTCTGCAGACCTGGACCTGGGAGCCATCAAGGACAGAGTAGGAAAGGCTAGCTGCCTATTCCACACTGGCATTTCCCAGGTCTATTGGAGCAGGGCACGGAGATAGAGGAGGCTGGTTTACTATAGTCTATCACAAGTCAGAGTCCCTAGTTCTGGCATTGTAGAGTCTTAAGTGCAATCTCTCCACTGAGACTGATCAGAACCATTGTCAGAGATTCAGTCTATTTATTCTACCTACTGGCCTTTTTTCTTTGTTTGAAAGAAATTCTGTCTTTTAAAGTAGAGTTGTAACCTTACTAGTGGGGAAATAGAAAGGGAGAGGGACACACACACACACACACACACACACACACACACACACACACGACTGGGGGAGGGGATGACAAAATGTGTCCTATTAGGGTTCTCTTTCCAAAGAAGTTACTTTAGCATGTAGAAGCAGGCTTTTTGGTTTTTTTGTTTGTTTGTTTGGTTGGTTTTTTAATGTTTGATTATTTCTACTTGACCCCCTTCAGCAAAAAATTAAGACAGGTTGACAGTAGTACATAAGATATACTGGAAAGTGTCAAGTAGAGATAAGTGGAAATTGAAGTTAGAAAATAAGGATGTTTGGTTGAACCAAAAGAATGTTTATATGTTTAAAATGCAAAATCAGGAACCAATCAAATGCCTCAAGATTTGGTTTAAATCAAGAATGGTTCACTTGTGCAGTATAATGTTGTGACTCACTAAAAATAGAAATACAGTTTTTTAGGGATAGGGGTGGATATGGAGGGACCAGGAGGTGAGTGGAATTGGGGTACATGATTTGAAATTTCCAAAGAATCAACAAAGAATTATGTTTAAGAAAAAAAGAGAAATGTGGTTTTTAACATCCCATTTTTATGTGCATTCAGTGAAAAATACAATTTATAAACGAACAGCTGGCCTATTTGAGCCCGTTCTATGGCATCCACTGAGGGGTCGTCCTCTGCACAGTCTCAGTGTGGTACCAGTGGCTCTCTGCTTTCTTTTACTTTCTTCTTTTGATTTTCTATTTGCCTTAGCACAATTCCTAAGTTTTTAATGAGCATATATTTCTAAGGTAATTTTCAAGAGTTTGTTTGTCTTTATTTTAAAAGAGAAGGATACAACCCAGTGTGTTAGTCTATCATCCCACTGTTCAGAGGGCTAAGAGATTAGAGAGTTGGGAGTTAAAGACCAGCCTGGGTTATAGAGTGAGACACTGACTCAGAAAAGACAAGAAAATAAGGAGCGGGGAGGAGAATAAGGAGAATAGTTGTGGTTAACAAAGGCAGAAGCACACACATGCAAGCAAGTACACTTGCTTAAGGCAGGCTGTGTGTTCGTCCATTTTTAGCAGTCTAAGCCAAGAGGGTAACATACTCACTTAAAACTCTTCTCAGTGTCCATAATCACTGGAACCCAGTAATTTGTAAGCCTTGTAGGCTACCAGAAGTTGTTCTGAATATGATGGATACATAAGAATCCAATGGAAGGTATTAAGAGAAATGACATGAACTTTCACATAAGAAGTTCACAGGGGAACTGGAGAGGAAGCACACCAGTTCCTGAGAGGTTCTAGATGTGACAGACTTGGGCCAACAAGAGGAAAGCTGTTTTTAATCACTTGGTCTAAATTGTCCCCCGTTGGAGCTGAGGAGATAGATCATCAGTAAAGCTTGAGGTCTTAAGTTTGATCCCCAAACCCCAAGGGAAAAAAAAATGCTGGGCATGGTGACACATACTTGGATCTTAGTACTGGAAAGGCAGAAACAGGAGGATCTCTGAGGCTCACTGTCCACCCAGTGAACCTGAGTTAATGAGCTCTAGGCCAATGAGAGACCCTGTCTCAAAGGAGGTGAATGACATTCCCAAGGATGACATTCGAGGCTGTCCTCTGGCTGCCATATGTAGATGCATACATGTGGACCCACACACATGACCAGGAATAGACATTCACATATATTCACACATGCATACAAATTGCCTTCTTTTGTAAGTGGCACAGTGGTGCTCTAATCTATGCATTTTAGTGAACAGGAGTTCTGTAGTTGGAGTTCATCTTTAAGTATTTCAAAGTAAATACCTAAGCTTTAACTGTGATGGATTTTCTGATTTCTCAATCTTGACTAGTATTCCCTAAGATGGAAAACGTTCTTACACTTCAGTATTTTTATGCTGTGTGTAAAAATAGACAGAAAGTCATTTATCTTCTTCTGTGAATGATTTTTTAAAGTCATGTCATTTTGGATTTTTAAATGTAAGAATTGGTTAACTATGGCATTTTTAAAATAATGTATTTTGCATCTTCAAAAATCTTCATCTGCTGCCTTTGGCAAGAGAGGAGGGAAGTCTCTTTCCTGTTGACATCCAGGCTAAGGTGAGGACTGGAGTGGGCAGCACATCCGTGAATCCTAGACAGCTGTGCCAAATCCCACTCCTTCGCTAAGAGCGGAGCTGAGTGACAGGGGACTTTAATTACAGCAGCTTTTAGAAGGACAGAGAAAATGAAGGGAAAACAGGAGAGCATTTGGCCTTGTTGGCCTGACTTGTGTTCCGATGTTCATCTAATTAAATCTTCATCTTTTCTCTACTCAGGGATCAATGAGCAAGGACTCTACAGAATCGTGGGGGTCAACTCCAGGGTGCAGAAGCTGCTGAGTGTCTTGATGGGTGAGTGCAGCAGTGGCTTTGCCAGGCAGGTCCCTTGGGCAGCCCACTCCAAGATTTCCAGCTTTCTTGGTAGCCTCTGGGGTAGGAATCAGGACATGCAAATGCCAGTGCCCAGAAATCTGCCGTGTTTGCTAGTGGTGGCCGTGGGCATTAACAGATGAGGTTCAGAGTGGGTCTTTGAGAGATTAAAATAAAATGACAAGACTAAACTAAACAAGCCACACCCAGTCTTCAGCACCCCAGTCCAAGTGCTGCTTGGTCAGTCATGTGACTGTCACACCCTACTCTGTCTTTAATAGCTCATGACTCCTTCTGCCCTCTTTTGAGGCAGGTATTCAATAAGACACACCCTATGCCTAAGAAAGGACATCTTTCTAGCCTGTGAGGATCTTGGGGTCTCATGTTCCTCATACTGAGGGTGTCGTGTAACTCTCAGATAAAATTTTTATCTACCGATAAATTCAAGACCCCCTTGGCTTCTAGACTTCAAGCCGTCTCTTGAGCAATAGAGCCTCCTCTATCCCTGGCAGATATATAAATAGAAAGCCACTACCTCCAAATGTGCAGTGTTTGAATCAAAATCCACGAGCCAAAGTTGCCTAGGCTGCAGAGATCCTGTATTTTTAGCTATGCAGCCAGCTTCAGTGAGTCACATGGATCTAAATGGCAAACAGATCAAATTTCATAGATCTGTGGCTGTTGTCCATGTCCACAAAGCCCAAGCCTGGTACTTGTGAAGATCAACTCTCATTCAGGCCTCTAACTTGACATTACAGGCACGGGCCTTTCTCCTGTGTTTGTCACTTCGTTTGTGGGTCCAGTTTCTGAAAAGAGCTTTCATATGTGCAGAAGTCTATTCCTTTATATGGGCCAGCGTGAGCCCTCACTGCTGTGCTCCATAACTCCACAGTGTTAAGACTTATGCCGAGACCTGTTGTTTGAAACCGTGCTAGCTGGGAGGCACGTCTACACTTAGTTTCCACTTTTCCGTTCAGATTTGGGATACGGTTAGTTCTTTATTATTATTATTATTATTATTATTATTATTATTATTATTTAGATAATTGTGAGATACTCATGCATTGTAAAAAGAACAACACAAATGGATCTTTTGTATCCTTTACCCAATTTCCTCCCCAGGCTACATTTCAATACCACAACCAAGATACTGGCATTTTTACAGTCAAAATGCAGAGCGTTTCCACCCCCATAATGACCTTGTGGTACCCCTTTGTGTCTACTTCCTGCCTCACCTCCTCACAGAGTCCCTAACCCTGGTGACCAGAGTTTATTCTATATTTTTTCCTTTTAATTTTGTCACTTTGAAATTACTTGTTATATAAATGGAATAATAGAATATGTAAGTTTGGGGGATTGAGGGTTTTTTTGTGAGCTTAATTATTTCCAAAGTTGATCAACTTGTTGCATGTATCATTACTTAATCTCTTTTTAACTACTGAGTAGTGTTCCACTTTATGGACATACCACAGTTTAGCCATTCACTGGCTGCAGGACTTCTGGGTTTTTTCCACTTTTAGGCTCTAATGAATAAAGCTGCTATAGATCCTTGAATAGAGGTTTTTGTGTGAGCATATGTTTGTTCTCATAGGATAAGTGCCCAAGAGTGATATTGTTGTGCCAAATGTTGATATGACTTAATTTTGAGAAATCCTAATAAAAGGAAGAACTAAGAGTTTAACAGGTGTTAACCTTCAGTCTTTCACTTCTGTTTAGGATTTGTAATTGATTGCTTGGTAATAGTGATATTAAGTTTTAGAAAGAACTCCTACCTTTCTGCAGAGTACTGGTAGGATGAGAGATGCATGCACCTGAAAGCTTTTATGTAAACATGTGGTGTTAGTGCCTAATGTGACCTGGGTCTGGAAATGGAATAGAGAAGGAAAGAAAAGAAGAATTCAGATTGAGCAAATATGAGCAACAGGATGGCCAGAGTCTATTGATGCTGTGGGATTATTCTTTAATATCTGAGAGAGCTAGTTGAGGCTGAAAGAGGGCAGTTAGTGCTGAACAGCAAAGGTGGTCTTTTTTGCTGACAAACCTAAGTACTATGCTGAGGAGTTTAGGGACTTTTTAAAAATCTCTCAAATGAAATAATGCTCTATTAAAAGTTCTAAGTGGTACACGTATCCTGGCAAGAGTCAGGAATTGATTTAGAATAGTTCCCAGAACAAAGGCATTTGCTTATGTAGCTGGAACAACTTTGGTGCCATCTTTACTCTGAGCCCTTTCCCTTCTTTCTTCTGGTTTCTCATTATCTTTGTCCTCTGCTGGCCTTGGCTTTGGCTCTGCTTTCTCTGGGAGTGTCCCAGATAGACCCAAGCATTGCAGTCCTTGGAGCTTGCATCATTTAGAAGAATGTCTTTTGGGTGACAGCTTTGGCAGAAGGCCACAGGGAGGACTTTAATTGGCTAGTGTGGGCCATTCACATGATAAACTTTTTATTTTGGAGCCAATCGAATTATCCTCAACAGATGGACGTAGATGGTCTGGAGCCTGTGCCTATGTCTGGGCCTGAGGGTAGAGGTGAGGTTAGTCCATGGCAACCCATGGACCGAGTAGGATCACTAATGAGTAAATGGAGGGGTGCTTTACTGAAAGTAATGATTGTTACTCTACTAATGAAGTGCACCAGACACAGCAGTAGCAAGATTTGATTCCAGCATTAGGTGAACAGCATGACAGAATGTGGAGCATGTATGCCATCATGGAAGGGCCCTGAAAGATGGCAATAGGTGAGGCCGAGAATACCTTATCTAGGGCTAGACCAAGAGCTGGGGCTCAGGATCCAATGTTGTATCTAAAGAGACCAACAAGATGAGGCTTCAGATAGAATTCAAAGATGATAATGTGAGATGACACTATTGAAAAGAAATGCAATGCTTTAGAAGACTGCTTGGGCAAAAGAGATGTTCTAGAAGGCGGTGGCTCTAATCATTGCTCTCAGCAGCCCTCTAACAAGGTATTGGTCCTGATGTCTCCCTTAGTTGGTCTAGGTATAGAGGAAAGTCATCATGACCATCTAAAGAATGTCATCAAAGAGTAATAACTAACAACTGACAGTCACAAGGCCAGCTGCCTCTGCCAGGAGAACATTCCAGATAGACTGGAATCTGAACGATCCTACCATGGTAGAGCTGACCAGATGTAACATGTAACCTAATGCCGAGAATGGAACTGGTGTGTCTATCAGTCAACGGAATCTTGTACTCTTGAGATTGTCAGGCCAGTGCACTAGGTCCAGGGCTGCCTCCCTTTCCTCTTCCTATTATATTCTCTTCATCAATTCTGGCTACCGCTCCTGGTCTGGACTAGCCAATGGTCTAGAATAAATTCTGCTTGAGGCCACAAACCCTTCAGGCCTCAGTGCGAGCCCCATACACACACTCTTCTCTTCTCTTCTCTTCTCTTCTCTTCTCTTCTCTTCTCTTCTCTTCTCTTCTCTTCTCTTCTCTTCTCTTCTCTTCTCACCTTTCTCATACCTGGCTACATGCAGATACAATTTAAGATTGCTTCTACTTGTTCCAAGGCTCTCCTAAGTGGATTTGTGTGTTTCTGTTATTACAAATATGGCTTAGGATTAAAACCAGACATTAACTTTGATCACTAGTTCATTTTTTGTGTTCTTAATTCGCTGGAGGACTGTGAGTGGGGGGGGGGGGCATGACAGTCAATGTGTTGAGAATGTCTTTGGTTTACTGATTAGGGTTCCTTAAGAAAGCTTGTTAGAATTCCTCATAGCCCCAGCAGTGTCCACTGCACTTTATGCTCGTGCCCTGCCAAGAACCATCCGGGTTACTTCCTCCTAGTGACAGAGGTCAGTAGTCTCAGACAGTGAAAAAGACTCAGGAAGATTCTTAGATTTCCTGAAACAGAATATATGTACTGTCCCCACTCGGAGACTAGTAAGTGAGGATAAGTATTTACAAATTTTCTTACATACATACATACATATATACATACACACACACACACACACACACACACACACACACACACACACACACACACACACATTTACACACCAACTACATTCTTGCATTACTTGTCTGTTTCTCTTCCTTTCCATTTCTGTATATTTTTAAAATTAAGCTACATTGTGTGTATGTGGGGGGTGTGGGAGGGTGAAGGAGGCAAGGGAACAGCTTGAGGGATTCAGTTTTCTTATTCCACTATGTGCTAGGTGGAAGGAAACTCAGGTTGTCAGACTTAGATGCAAGTACAGTACACTGAGCCATCTTGCTGACCCCCGCCCTGTTCTACATATTTTAACTAATTCTTTTCTCTGATTAAAAATTATGAGTAGAAAAATACAAAAAGCATAAAGAATAAAATAAGAGTCCTTCAGACCACAGACAACCTTTATTGGCTGTTTTATTGTATAAGAGACCTTTTAATCATAGCTTCCTTTAAACCAGCTACACTAGCGTGTAGTAAGAGCGTTAGTATAGCAACCTGTGTTAGTATGGTTACAACACTGGACACAGAGTGCGTGTTCTATGACGGTAGTTCTCAACGCTCCTGATGCTGTGACTCTTTAATACAGTTCTTCATGTTATGGTGAACCCCAACCATAACATTATTTTCATTGCTTCATAACTGAAATTTAGCATTGTCGTGAATCATAATGTAAATATCTGTGTTTCCTGACCCCTGTGAAAGGGTCCTTCAACACTCCCCAACACGCAAGGGGTCACGATCGATCCACAGGTTGAGAACCACTGTTCTAGGGTTTTTAATAGACTGTTCACACAATACTATAGTGTCAATTTTTTTTCTGCCATGTTAAGTCCTCCTGTGGCATTGCTCTTGCAGATGCACCTCTTGGAGATGCACCAGAGCCTCTGAACCAACCTTCTGCACTTATGCAGTTAGTTCCTTGTCATTCTGGGAAGCACTCAGGGTGTCCTGTGAGGCAAGGTAGCAGAGGTGAAGAGCATGCAATCTGGAAAGTAGACAAGCTTTTCACATTAGACAAATGA